AACATTACATACTAATGTATATATCAAGCAAAACAATAATTATTATATCATAAAAAATATTTTCCTCAAGTACTCGAGGTTATGAAATATACCTTCTTAGGATAAAAAGATTTAGTTTATCAGAGTAGGGGTATCTCATATTCTGCTAAACTTCGAACTCACTCAACGACAATAAATCACACAAAAAAATTGGAAATGCAAGAAGAAGAAGAAGAAGAGTAGAACAATAGGATTTTTTTTTTTGTAAAATGAGAGAAGTCCCTCTATTTATAGTCAACAAAGGGTAGTATGAGCAAATATTTTTTGTGTCTTATCTGAAAAATCATGACCTTTCCGACAATTCACAACACTTTGGAAAAGACAAACTTTTTAAAATAGTGACAACTCTTTGGAAAAGTCACAACTTGTTAAAAAAGTCACAACTCTTTGGAAAAGTCACAACTAATCGTGATATCACAACCTTTTGAAAAAAGTCACAACTTATTGGAAAAGTGACAAGTCGTCGAAAAAGTCACAACCTAAGTTAGGGATATTATAGTAATTTAACATTCAAGTTAGGAGTTCATGCTTTTAAGATAATATAGATATAGATATATAAACTTACACATTTTACATTTAAAAAGTATGAATATGAAAAACATGAAAGTTATGAATTTGAAAAGAATATTGAAAAACATGAAAGGTATGAATATGAAAAACTAAAGAGTTTGTTTTATCTTTAGTTGTCTAGCCCACATAATTTACCAAACTTTTTTTTTACACGGGAATTGTGAATATTAATACAAATTATTATTGGTTCAAATAAATTAATTAGATAATTCATATTTAATAGTTAAGTAAGTTTTTACCATCTTAATTAATTTAGAATAGATAAAGACATGAAAGTGGAAAAAATTGAAATATTTAAAATACCTTAACTTTCTTAAATAAAGTAAATAGGAAAATAGAAGAAAAGAAATCAAAAAAGGAGAAAAATAAATAAATAATATTCTAGGCTATAGAACTAAAGACAAAAGGATTACACATACTATAAATTTAATTTGAATTTTTTATTATTAACAAAAATTCTATTAACTGATTATATGAGTTATTATTATACTATCATAAATATTACTTGGTTTAAACCCACAACTATAAATGTTCATAATTATATATGTAAAAAGCACTTATCTATTTCAATTTTTCATCTTCTGCGAGGGTAAACATACTCTTGATGTCTTTTAATATTCCTTAATTTATACTATGAAATTGCATATCAATATATTGTCTTTGTATCACATATTTCTTTCTTTAATTTTTTCCACTTGCCGCACTACAATCAGCAATATCGTGGGCTAATATTTTACCTTGTCTTTATTTCATCTTTTTTTTTTATACTTAATACTATTATTGTGTATCTTTGTTATTTACATTTTTTTATTTTTTCTTAATTTTCTTCTTTTTTTTATGCTATTGTGTATTTTCATTATTTACTGACGACTATGATTCATATATGTTTTATGAATTATTTTGTGTATGAGTTAATGTGTACTGATTAACTTTGTGCTTTAATAATAAGGGACAAACGTGCCACGCATGTTTCCAAAGATTAGTTTTATAGAAATACATGACGATTAAATTCTTTGGTATCAAATATCCACAAATTGGTTAAGTTTTTTTTTTTTCTAGAAATATTATCCATTTTCAAGATTTTGGACACCATTTAATATCAACCATCCATGTTATGACCTTAAACATTGCTTTAATATTTGTATTTTCTTGAAAGGATACCCCCAAATATATCAACATAATTAGGACCCACAATTGTAGAGTGCTCCACTCTTTGTAAAAATATGGAAGCGTGTTAATGGCCCTTTGCTCTCTCTATATCTATGTCTTTTAGTGCACTATATAATGTCAACATCAATGGCGGCCAACAATATGCATCTTTCACTAACAAACTTTTATATTTTACTCATTTTCTTTTCTTAGTAGCAAAAAAAACAAGATGTCATAATAGTAGTAAACATCTTCTTTTTTTTTGTTGGTGTATTTTAATTGGGTGGATAATAGTGGGAGACTAACTTTCTAGAAAAGTAAAATAACTATACTTATTGCTTTGAGTAACTGTTACAAGATGCTTAAACTACAATTATTATTACATGTGAATTGAAATATCCCACATGGGGTGATGGTGTTTTTGTTTCAATGTTTTTAATCTTTACTTTGGATTTGTTTTTTCAAGATTAGCATCATCTGGCTTTTAATGTGTAGAGAATCTGTTGGTTGGTTTTGGGGTTTGTCACCATTATTGTCTCATTTTAGCTTCTGGGGTTCATCAAGAATGGGGTTTTGAGTTCTATTTTTGGGAGAAAACTTGTCATTTTGGTGGTTTGGTTTGACTATTGATGTAATTTGATTGTTTTGTTTTGGGGAATCTAGATAAAGATTGTTTCTTTTGATGTTTTGGAGCTACTGTAAGAACTGAAAATTTTCATCATCCCCCAATATTCAAGGTTTGAATTTCTTGTTTTCTAAGCTCCAAGGTTTCATCTTAGATTAGAGTTTCTGACTTTTGGTTTGATATTTTGGACTGATTTTCATGGAGGTGGTTTCATTGATTTTGGGTTTTCTTGGTAGTTAGAATCTAAAAAACAAACTGAGCTGATGATGATGATGAAAAGTTTCAAGCTTTGTAGTTCTTGAAAGTGGGAAAAGGGGTTTGGGAATTTGTCTGGATAAATTAGTGATATACAAAAGAAGGGATTGAATTTTGGGGTGGTGGTGATGGAGAAGCAGATTAGCTTTCATGGGGTGATTGAGAAACAGCAGAGTTTTCGAAATGGGACGATGGAGAAGCAGAAGAGCTTTAGAGGGTTGATGGAAAAGCAGAAAAGTTTTCGGATAGCGATGGAGAGGCAGCTGAGCTTTGGTGGTGGTGAGAGGAAAAGGGGTAAGGAATCACCAGGGAAAAGAGGGGATTCCCCACTTCACTTGGCAGTTAGAGCAGGGAACCTTGGCAAGGTGAAAGAAATCGTTCATAGCAAAAGCACCAATGATTTGTTATCTAAGCAAAACCAGGAGGGTGAGACAGTTCTGTATGTTGCGGCAGAGAATGGCCATAGTTTGGTTGTTGCAGAGTTGTTAAAACATTTAGACCTTCAGACAGCTTCTATTCTGGCAAATAATGGTTTTGATGCATTCCATATTGCCGCAAAGCAGGGTCATCTTGGTGAGTCTTATGATGCATTCCTTCTTGTACATATTGCATGCTTTATGGAGATAATGTGTATGTTTATTTTACTTCACATGTCATAATTGCTGCTGAACCACATTAGGAGCAATTTTCATCATTGATTTTAGCTTCTAAACCTTTACCTTAAGCTGCTGTAGAGCAGATTACTTATGGCTTCAGTAAAAGACTAGATAATTACAAATATGTTTCCACAAGCCTATATGCTGAGACCCTACATATTATCACTTGAAGACTTGTAATATAGAGCCATCTTCTTCTTTGTAAAGCTGCAATTAGAGGACAAGACTAAGTTCGGAGACGGTAATTTTCACATCTGCACAAATCGTAAATTACCTCTTGTGAGCATTGAAGATAATAAGGACCTATCTAGTAGTGTGTGTGATACCATTGAAGGTGGTGATACAAGTTGAAAGGGTTTGAGTTGCGCTTACTTTTATTCTTAGCCTAAGGAGTCAAAATGGCTTGAATGAAGAAAGATGCATCCTGAATAGACTCTCCAGATCATTATATCAAGTTGTACATTTACATCAACTACTTAAAACTCTGTGATGATACAATCATTCCTGAAACCTTTTTTCCAGTACTAATTTTGAAAGGAAAAATAGTAAGAATAATAACTGAGTTAAAGTGATACATGTTCATCCCATAAAATGATTTAAATTACCTTTCAGACTAATGACATGTTAAGAGAAAATAGTCAGAAGCCGACGAACTAAGTGTTGTATTTACGTGGGAGAGGGGATTGCACATTACCCCTGAGTTTTGAATGCTGCGGTTGGCCCTAAGGGTTGACCCAGACAAATATCTTGGTCATCAAAACATAAAAAAAGGTCAGAAGTCTAAAACAATGATTGAATGTTTAAATAAATATCTATTTGTTTGATAGGAAAACCATCAGAAAGTGGTTTAGTTTATTTTTTGAGGGAATTATGTTCAAAGATAAATCTTATGGAATGGACGTAATGCATTCCTCTGAAACTGATGTTTTTACTAGCCCATGAAGTACAAGATTTTGTCATTCTTTGGGGGCTCTGTGAATCCTTTTTTATCTAAACGTATGCAACTATTTTGCCACTCACCAACAGGTTCCTAAATTTTGTCAGCATTAATGCTTCTTTTGCTGCTTCCTGATCCTCTAGGTAACTCCCTATTAGCCATGCCATTCATGGGTGTTACTGCTTTTCTAGAACCAAATGATGCCAGAATTTCCTGGCATCATCACTACATCATATCCAATTACTATGTCAACCAACACTGGGTGCTATGACTAATGACATCTTTTGGATTCTCTTATTCACTTAGAATTGGTAACACTAATTCTTCATTTTTTGTCTGCTGAACTTGAGGAAATCCTTTTTCTTCATCCTCGTTTTTAAGTTCCCTATCTGTTTGAGTATCTTGATAAAGCGTGACCTTGATCTATGATTTCGTGAAACCAGACCAGGCTGATCTTGAGCAGTTTGTCCTCTAGATTAGCTCCCCAGTTGTTTTTCGCTCAATAACTGCTACATTTGCTATATCACCTTAGTTTATGAAATGTTTTTGAACTTTAAGATTCTTTAACCGAGGGTGTAATTCACAGTTAATGAAGTTGGAATGGACTGTGGGGGATCAGGGTTCAAATCCTAGCAAGGGCAAAAAAAAAGTTAGGTGATTTCTTTCATTCTTTTAAGCCTTGGTGGATAGTGTTACACAACACTTGTACTAGTGGGAGGTAGCAGATAGCAGGTACCTACGGATTAGTCAGGATGTGTAGAAGTTGGAGGGGGCAACCTTCCAACATAAAACCAATGAAGAAATGAACTTTTAAGATTCCTTGGGGTTGAAGAGGAAGCTTATTTACTACTGATCAGGAAAAAGGGAAGATTAAGCTTATTTACTTTATCAGAAAAAGGGAAGATTAAGTTTTACACCACTACTCACGTTTTGGATCTGCCATCACATGTATGATTTAGTTTGTGCTTTCTGTGGCTCGAGTATATTAAAGCTTAGAAATGACAATTGAAGCAAACTTAAATGCTTGTTCCGGGTCATTTGTCATTTTCTGAAACTTGTTCTTAGTGGCAATTGTTAAAATGGAATTAGAATGTTCCTTAGTTATATCCACTCTCTAAAAAGGATTTCTGGATTACATTGCAGAGGTACTGAAAGAACTGTTGCATTCATTTCCAAACCTAGTCATGACAACGGATTCAGCCAACTCTACAGCCTTACATACAGCAGCTGCTCAGGGACACCTTGATGTAGTAAATCTCCTTCTGGAGATCGATTCAAACCTTGCTAAGATAGCTCGTAACAATGGCAAGACTATTCTCCATACAGCTGCAAGAATGGGGCACTTGGAAATAGTTAGAGCTCTTCTAAGCAAGGATCCTGAGATTGGCTTTAGAACAGATACAAAAGGCCAAAGTGCCTTGCACATGGCTGTAAAGGGACAAAATTTTGATATTGTTCTTGAATTAATCAAGCCAAATCCTGCTGTATTGGCTTTGGAAGATAACAAAGGAAACAGAGCACTTCATGTTGCGACTACAAAGGGGCGGCCACAGGTTGGTCTTAGTTTATCATCTATTATTTCTTGTATACTAGCAACTCCCAAAAAGTTGAGTGTTTTAATGTGTTTCAGGCGAATTGGTGATATGTGTTTTATATATTGAAGTCTAATGCTTATCTCAAAAAAATAAAAATTGAAGTCTAGTGCTTCTAAATTGGCGCAAAACTGTTCATTTTGTGAACCACATTGAAAAGGTGGGCTGAGTTTACAGGATGAAGTCTCTTGTTATGAATCATGGAGATTTGTTGCATATTTAGGAAACATGGAAGAGGGAAAGGGAAGTTGAGGTGACAAATGAACACTATACCCTAAAATCCTAAATAAGATTTTTTTTTCTCAATGAAGACTTGATAAAAATTCTGCAGTCGGCTGCTTATTTGTCACTTCAACTCCCTTTTTCCCTCTCAGGTGCTTTTTGCATCTCAGTCTTCTCTTCCCAGATAAGCCTGATATCTACAAAATAAGCTAATTTAAATAGCTGGTGACTTCGATGCCGCCCGAAAACAAGAAAGCTGACACTAGGTACCACTTACCATAACAGCAAAGGATTTCTTGCTTACGTACTACTTGAGAGACAATTTTTGGGCTTCTGTTTCTTTTATCGAACTTCTAGATCACTGTTGTTTAATTGAACATGATGGTGCAGAAGTAATGATATTACTTATGGCAATGTAGCTCGCAAGTGAATTTGCAAAGGCAAGCTTGTTTTGTGGAGATGCTTACGGCATGTTCGGCTTGGATCATCAAAACTGTTCTGATTACTTTTAAAAGATAGTGTGATTATTCGATGATAAAATAATCAATTCAATTAAAGATAAAGTTTATTTTTGGTTGAAAAGCTATAGTTAATAACTCTTATACTGATTCTTTTACAATAAACAATCAGACTTGTGAGTAGTATAAATCCAAACCGACCAGACCCTTGTGCCTGGAGATTAACTACTCGCATAGAGGAAAAAAAAGAATCAATCTACCTATATAATTTTATGACTTCATGGGTGAATATGATGTTATGATGTTCCAGGTTTAATATAGGAATCCAACAGCATATTCAGTGCACTTTGTGTTTAGCATTTAACTTGAGACTAAACTAACGTAATTGCAGATGGTACAATGTCTAATATCAATTGAGGGCATCGATCTCAATGCCGTCAACAGGGCTGGAGAAACAGCTCTTGATATTGCAGAAAAGTCTGGATCTCCGCAGCTCGTCTCCATGTTGAAGGAGGCAGGAGCTACCCGTTCTAAAGATGATGGGAGGCCTCCAACTGCTGCAAAGCAGCTCAAGCAGACTGTCAGTGACATACGACATGATGTGGAGTCCCAACTCCAACACAGTCGTCAAACTGGCTTCAGAGTGCGGAAAATTGCGAAGAATGTGAAAAAACTCCACATTAGTGGTCTTAACAATGCAATCAACAATGCGACAGTTGTTGCTGTCCTTATTGCTACTGTAGCTTTTGCTGCCATCTTCACTGTACCTGGCCAATATATTGAGGAGAAAACAGATGGGGTTTCGCTCGGCGAAGCACACATAGCCAGGAAAGCATCTTTCATAATATTTTTCTTGTTTGACAGTATGGCCTTGTTTATTTCCATTGCTGTTGTGGTGGTACAAACTTCTGTGGTCGTGATTGAACAGAAGGCAAAGAAGCAGCTTATGTTTTGGATAAACAAGCTCATGTGGGCAGCTTGCCTCTCCATTTCAATTTCCTTTATTTCACTTACTTATGTGGTGGTTGGAGAGAAGGAAAGAGGGCTTGCCATCTATGCAACTGTCATTGGTAGCACCATAATGCTCACTACTATAGGATCCATGTGCTATTGTGTGGTTCGGCATAGGCTAGAAGAGTCAAGGATGAGGAGTATAAGGAGGGCCGAGACTCATTCACATTCATACTCGATGTCTGTGGCATCAGATACAGAGCTTTACGGTGAAAACTACAAGAGGATGTATGCGGTATAGGAGTAAATAAAAGTCAGATAAATTTCTGCCCGAGGCACCTAGCCTGGAACTTTGTAGATAGCACTATAAGTGAATATATGCTGGTTCTAAACCCTCTAGTCTGATGAACTTCTATCAATGGCATCAGATACCAAATTGTTCGAGGAACAAAAGGATCTACGAGTTAGGAACAGATGAGGAGATAGTTCAAATAGACTGCAATAATGTCGAGGTGATGCATATCTGCACAATTCCCCTAAATGGATTTCCTGCAGCCACTGAATTTCTGCACAAATGAGGTGACATATTGCTTAGAAGTTCAAGATGAAGGCTTTAGCAAATCCTTCGGTATTCTTCGCATGAATTTTAATAGTTTGACTGCAAGCTCTCATGGAGTTTACTATCAACCTAGAGTTACTAGTACCAGATTGCTGGTATATGACTAGAAGGTGGGGATGGCTGATATTGAATTGCTTTCACGTATACATAATAAACTCTGTAGAGTAATGTACTTAAAATTATTATTTATGATATAATTCATCATATCTATTTCTCCTGGTAATGAAGTTACGTCCTTTACCAGCTTCTTTTATTTGGTAGAAATTTTCTGTCAGCTGGGGAAAAGCTCCAATGGTGAGCTAGTTCCATAGTTCCCTTTCTTCCTGATCTTAATTAACCTACTTTTGGATACAAGGTGTTGATTGCAGAGAAAATAAGGCACCAGAAGATCATCTTCGTGACTCGGAACTTAACCAAATAGTAAGTTTATAGTACAGAATTGGCAACAGTTTATACTTTCCTCAACTCATTTCTGCTCAATGGCAAAAACAAATTCTCCTCCTGGTGAGGCACAAATAGACTTCCAGTAATCACTATGCAAAATTGGTCATAAATCTTCAGGCCAAAAGAGTATTAATGTAAACAGTATTTAGGACCTGATTCTCACAAAAAATGGATGAGCAAATCTCACAGCTTTTACCAATATTTTCTGAGCTGGTATTCGAGCTTTTGCACTATTTGTATATGATTATTTACATCGAGATCCTATCAAGTATCGACAGCTGAGAAAATCCAACTAGTTGGAACCCCGTGGTGCTGCAGTTGTGTTTGTAGATTCTTAGGTTTTCATGTAGCTATCAAGGAACCCGAATGTTTTGATGGTCTTTCTTCTTATTCGAGGTACTCCCAGCATGTTTGAGTGTGGACCTATGATGGGAGCTTCCTTCATTACTCCTCCCAGTGTTTTTTGAATTAACGCTAAGTGCATCTGCTGAGAAGCTGTGGCGCACATGTACCTGATATGTTCTTGCCTCAGTTGACTGACTGGCTTTAATAAAGATCATCAAAGTCACCTCCTTGTTTATTGTATCCTCAGACCACCGACTTAGCGGAGTGCCATCAACAGAATCTTCTAATGACTGGCTATCCTCATGTTGAACTAAGATCTCAGCAGCTTGATCCGGTTTGATGATGCCAGCAGCAGGTGTGACCTGAATCAGAAAATCAGTAGATGGAATTGCTTGCAGTAAAGGCCCATTTTCAGTTCCAAAAAGGTACATGTTAAAGCTAAGAGACTAACAAAGCAATAGATAAGGCATCAACTAAGAGAAAAAGGAGTTGCTTGGCTGGTCAGATTTAACTAGTTTATGCATATCAGAATGAAGGGACAGCCTATAATCTAAGTTCACCATTTTAGGCTCTTTTAGTAACCTCGGAACTTCCTAACCTACTATGTGGGACTCCAGAAGAGGTAATATTGCTCCACCAAGAGAAAAAGGACCTGTTTTCCTTGTTCCTGTAGGATGAAAAAGTATAAACCCAAATTAAGAGCGTCTAGGAAATGAAGAATCACCTCAAGCCATCTGGGAAAACCAAGGGAACCTCTGGGATGATACTCTGATGCTTGCCTATCCTCTTTGATGGTGGACTGAGCACTACAGGTGATCTGGAAGAGAACTCTGTCTTCTCTACTTTTGTTGGAAATTTGTAAGCTGAATGTGTCATTATTCTGTAGAACAATTTGGCTGGTGCTAATATTTGTCTCTGGGACATAACGTAGTTCGTTCAGTACAGACCTGATTCTATCATTGTTCTGGAAAACCTTCCCAAACTCTTGTCTCCTTACTGATCTATCAATATGAGCAAGTTCAATATTAAACTTGCACCTTACAGGCTTATGATCACTTTCTGTTACTTCCATGCAACCCTCATACCTATCATATAACAGAGAAGTTTCAAGATGAAGCAAGAGAAGTAAATATGAAGAACACCTCCACCCCCCACCCCTCCTCCCTTCAAAAAGACTTACTGAATAATAGAGGCAACGACAGGACACCCTAAACTGCATTCCACTGTAGGGCTTGTCCGGCTGTCTCTATACAATACTCGATCACACCAAGCTGGAATTCGTTTCTTCTCTCCAGAATCATATCCTAAAGTGGAAAATGGAAAGTATGGTCAATGCTTTTGGTTAAGTCCATGCATTATGTAGGACTGTTCACAAAGGACAATCTTAAATTAGTTCTTGAAACAAACCCTTGCCATTCTAAACAAAATGAAAGTAAACTAAGATGTTCAGTCACATTCTATATCATTACAAATAAACCTTACCTCCTAATCCTGGCTTCCCCCTTTCAAACTTGTAAGTTGGAGGAAATTTGATGATTGCTTCACGCATTCCTTGGAAAACTTTACCAGTTTTCATTTCTGCTCTTAATTGATCTCTCTCTCGAAGCCAATCAAAGCTTCTTTGAGAAACAAAGTCCCTTGCTTCATCATAAGATATCCCAAAAAGACGATAATTGAAATCACCAAAGAAAATCACCATGTCAGCTTCAGCAAGATCAGGCTTTCCCTCATCAGGATTAATTGCTGCAGCCTGTTGTAGATGAGAAGGTGTCACTTGAACAACATTAGAATGTAAAATCACTTGACAAACAACTATAGGAAATGGACATCCATACATTTGTACCACGAAGCACTTGAGCAGCAGATGAGACGCCAACTGCAATAAAAGGAGGATCGATGGCAAGCCAGAAGAGAAAAGCAGCCATAGTAAATACGTGGAGAATACAACAGTGCAATAGAAAAGCAGGTATCACAGCATACCAGAAGCATTGTTAAGAAGGTTAGAAGACCGAGTGAAGGACATTGTTCGATAAATATGGTCAAAATCAGCATTGCGACGCGTGATTGCTTCCAAATGGGCAGCCAAGTGACAGTTCACAAAGCACATTATTCGATCAAATACTCTTAACCTCAGACCAACTCCACCCTGCATTGTAAATGTGTAACATGACAGAATGATACAAGCCATTTCATCGTTCCTTTACAAAGGCAAGAACCAATAATTTAGTAGAACAAGCAGCTGACAGCTCTATGTCTTGAGCATCTGTGGTGTGAATCCTAATGTAAACAAACAAACATTTGATAAATAATACAAGTTAAACATCAGAAGGAAAGCTACCTTGTTACCAATTGCACGTCCTAAACCACATGCAACTGCTCCAACGTCAAGGTCTCCAACATGATTTCTGAGACTTTTCCTCACCCTGATTATAGGTCATCAATGAAGAAAATGAGTAAAAATAAGTAGGAATTGGAGCTCAAGGTAGAACTATATCACTCAAATTCAGCTAGAAATTTGAAGCTTTATGAAGAATGTAGTTCTTAGGAGGTATAGTTTGGTGAATTCAGCTTACAAAGAGAAAGCAGATCACTAAAAGTAACCTCCGCACGCTCTTACCAGATAGCAATAAGCAATGCAGCTAGTTGCCTTGATCCTACACGTTCGAAAGTTGATCCTTCATCCAATGCCTTACCTATGGCATCCTGCCACCATTGCCCCATAGCACTTCCTTCCAGTCCTACCTACAGTTGACATGAGTGATAATGCTGTGTACATGACTCAAGACTAGGGAAGTATAAGGTTACACTATCCACATGTGCGCCAAATTATGCATCTATAGTAGAGCATCTTAGTGCTAACTTTTGTTTGCCCTCCAATCTCTTGGCCATGTTTCAGGGATTAGCTGAGCAAGTAGAGACACAGGGTCAAGGAGACAGATCAATGAAATAGGGCAGAACTACTTGAAGATTGCAACATGTTATCATTCTCTTATGACAAAACCTGTCAACTCTTTCAGCTACTGGGATTCTTGACTTCTTTTGTTCTAAATAACAAACTGATCAAGTTTCCAATACCTCTATTTCAATTTATATGTCTTACTACAGTTTACACCTTAAGTTTAAGACAACAAGATTCAAAAGTCTCCCTAATTTTCTTAAACTTCATGCTAGTCAAACTAAGACACATAAAAATAGAAATGGATGGAGTATTTTTTTTTCCTGGATCCATGTTCAAACAACACAACTACCAGTTGCATATGGTTTTAAAATCTCTTATACAGCTGGACTGCCTATAACATATAGAAGGTGAAATAGCTTACACTTTCTTTTGCAGCAGACATTGCAAGAAAACCTGCTCCCATTTCTACTTCTTGCAACCCAACCACTACTATTCCAACATCTGAAACTGTGGAACCAAGCCAAGCTGCTAGTGCTTCCTGTGAAACTCTTCCCTGACCGACATTCCAGGTGCCAACTAAAATCCTGAAATCTTCTTTTCTAGTGTACAAATGTTCTTTCTCAGCTAACTCTGGCCGTATTATGTTATCAATAGGTCCTGGAGAGACAAGACTCCATCCACGTATACCACCGTGAGTAGCCAAGCTGAAAAGATAGTTATCCCCAACTACCATTTTTACTACAGGCCCATTGTGAGCAACCCAGCCAACTAGCAAGTTTCCTTCAAGATCCAGCATCTGTACCATCCCACTTATGTAGCCAACCCATATCCGAGAACCATGAGCACATAAGCTTAAAACAGCACAAGGATGGTGATGAAAATCTTGCAAACGGTTGCCATTTCCATCCCAATGCACAAGTAAACCATTTGAACACCCACTCCAAATCATTCCATCGGCTGCAAGCACAAGGGCTTCTGTTTTTTTACTATCTTCTGCAAATGCTCCTGCCCCCTTTGAAGCAACCCGACGGACAGCTTCTGCAGCTCCCATTATAGCATTACGTGACCTCTGCAAAAAGCTACTTCCTTGTGACTTTTCCTTTTTAGGTTTGGATGCAACCTTGGCATTCATCTCATCCTCCGTTGCTTGGTCTTGCACTGATGACATGTCACCCCGGTTTTCAATTTGACCTTCTGCATTGTAAACTTTAAGGAGTTCCCTTGTCCGTGCATCCCTGCAGTTTCCCAACTACCAGAGTAATTAGGATTGACAATTTATTATGCACACATAATCATTCAGATGGAAAAATATAGAGGAACCTACCATAATGAGAAGGATGCTGATCCAGCTGCCCACACTTTTGCTCTTACATGATCAGATAACAAACACTTCACATCAGAAGATGAGATGTTACAAACACCATTAACTGTAACTTGGCTCTTAAGGTCAACAATTGACCGTTCCACAAGTAAAGCAGCCATGTGTCTTTCTTCAGGTGATAAAGAGAGAGATTTATCAATAGATTCCCATGGCCAAACCCTAATGTTACCACCCTCGGACCCTG